CCCCCCTTTCCCCTTCTGCCCCGCTATGTTCACTGGTAATGCATTTTGGGTGGAGCAAGGAAGAGGTTGTATACGCCATCGGCATCAAAACTCAAGCAAGACATCATATACGCCATCGACGGGAAAACTTAACATTGGAGTGCACGTGGACCCAACCATCTTATAAAAAAATATAATTTTTTCTTAAAAAAATAAAAGAATACCCAACTAAACATACGTTATATTTTTTATTTTAAAAACATATAAATCATAACAGTACTAAACGCATTTTCTAAAAACAAAAATAAAATAAAACAGATTAAAAACAAAAACTGAAGTAAAAAATTAGAAAGTGATCCCAAATAGGTCTAAGCTCTCCCTTAGGGCCCTTGAACCCTTAGAATGAAAAAAATTCAAACTAAGTTCTTAGGACCCATCCTATAAATCTTTGGGCCCAATTTTGACTTACGTTGAGCGGGCATGACCTAGTTGGCCCAATTTGATCAAATCAAGTCACAAATAATTTTGTGGGGCCCACTAAACCAATAGGAATTTGTTTATTAAGTATTTGGTTTCTAATGAACCTAACTTATTATGGGTCATTAAGATTATATCCGGGCTAAAGCCAAAAGGTTCCAAAGTGTATGCAAGCCTACTTTGACCTGGTAAATCTTTTAGTTCATTCTGAAATCTAAACTAAGTTAATGAAATTTAATGGAACTAAATTAGTTAAGTATTCCAAAAAGGCTCATCTTGATTAAATAAATCTAAATATAGACAATTATAACTCAAATTGGGTCACTTGGTATAGTTGACCCAAACACAACTCATTAAAGGGATGATTGGGTCAAACTTATCATAAGCAACCCAAACTCGATCAAAATCAAACTAACTGAAATTTAAATACTATTTGAATTTAACTAAATTAATTGAATCCTAAATTAAGTCATTTTACCTATCTTGGACTAGTGGGCCCACTTGACTCACTTGAGCCAAATAGATCAAATTGAACCAAATGCCCCCCCCCCCCCCCTCAAAATCAAACATAACAAGACTAATCTAAATAATTCTTTAAACTAAATTTAACTCAATTGAATTAAAATTGAAGCTAATCGGATCCAATTGAGCTAATTGGGCCACTTGACCTAATTTGACTCATTTGAACCATTATTGAATTTAATTCACATAAAATGAAAATTAGTCAAAATTAAATGATTATAAAAACTCAAAAATCACTATTGTTTACTCAAGTTCAATTGGTCAATTGGATCACTTGACCCAATTTGACCTAATTGGATCACATTGGGAAAAGTTGAAATTAAGCTAAAATTAATTGAAGTCAACTATTTTCATAAGTCTTACATCACTGATTGAACATAACTCAAGTTCAATTGAGATCCAATTTAGTCAATTGGATCATTTGGCATTACTAGACCAAATTGGACCACATTGAGTCAAATTTCAAATTAAAATCAAATTAAATTAAATTAATAAATATTAAAAATTTCAAATCATTAATTAAACATATATAGGAAATTAGTTTTATTTTTTAATTTTTCATATGTTTTAAAAACTTTGTTTTATATTTTAATTATTTTTTGTTTTTTTATATGGTTTCTTTTTGTTTTCTTTCAAGTTTTATGCTTTTAATTTTTTAAAACCTTTTGTTGATGGTTTATAGCATATTTATGATATATATATATATATATATATATATATTTATATATATATGGATATGTTTTAATTTGAGGCTTATTGATATAGAAAAATGACTAAGCTATTGTTTTTACCATTTTAAGCTTTGATTAATAAATAATAAAGTTGATACTTCAGATAATGTAGATAGGTAATAATTTAATTTGATTTTTTTATAATAAACAAAGCTTTTTTACTTGAAGGATTTTATTATTCTTTCTTTATGAGCTTGATGAGTGAGAGGTAAGTTCTCATGCACTGTCACGTATTTGTCCAATATAATCCAAGCTGCTCCTTGTTAATTAAATTTTCATATTTCTTGTTAAGTTTTCATCATTGGCTTGGTTTGTAGATTTGGAGGAAGCTGCCTTACCACTTGAAGAGTACACTTCTCTGCAGGATTTTTTCATCCGGAGTCTTAAAAGCGGTTCACGCCCAATTGATCCAGATTCAAACTGCCTGGTAACTGGTAACCAACTGATATTTCAGTATTCTGCATTATGCGCTGATAATAATGTTTCTGTGACTATTTCTAACTAGGAGTTTGTGTTGTGAAAGTAGGTTAGTCCTGTGGATGGCACAGTTTTGAGACATGGAGAGCTTAGTGGACCGGGGGCATTGATTGAGCAAGTCAAAGGCTTTTCTTATTCAGCTTATTCTCTTCTCGGGGCAACTACATTTCTTCATGAGATAGTTGATATGGATGCACTGGAAGAACATTCAGAACACAGCTCAGCTGAAGAACTGCACAAAAAATCGTGGTGGCGGATATCATTGGCCTCACCTAAAATTCGGCATCCAATTTCAGCGCGGTACTTTATTTGATATACCTATCTTGTCTCAGATGATTTTTCTTCTCATTGATGTGCCTGCTTGCCTACCTTTTCAAATTGAAGTTCTCTTTCTCATTATTAATAAAAATAATTTTCTTCAAAATTACAAGGAATTGTTACTATTTAGCCAATCTATGTTTTTTTTTTTTCGTTTACCAAATTTTTTCACCGTCAAATTTTTTCACCGTAAAGCTCTTCACAGCCCCAGGAAAGGTGTATATTACTGCGTTTTATATTTAAGCCTTGGTGACTATCATCGAGTGCACTCTCCTGTTGATTGGCAAGTGCTTCTTCGTCGTCATTTCTCAGGTATCCTCTCTTTCTGTGCTTTTGATGCTATCATGTCTCTCTTTAGGGTGTGCTGATGATTCATGTATCTTTACCATGCGTACTGAATATTTAAAGATGACCCGATTCAGCAATAGCTTGCTAGTTTATCCAGTTCAATGTAATGCTATGAAAAACATAAATTCATTTTGCAGTTAAGATTCAATATTGCTAGGTGTACAGATGTTGTAATTATGGATGGCCCTATGATATTTAATTGTTTGTGTCACGTGGTCTCTACTTTGTGTTCTTTTTCAATGGTGGATATTCAGTGGTGATAATGTTGATGTATGCAATTATTCACATTAGTTGCCATCTATCCACTGAAGAATTGGCATCTTTACATTTATTCATTAATTATCCAACATGATTTTTGAATTTTTTGGTTGTAGGCAGTGGTTAAGTTGTCTCATTTTGATCGGAAGGTCATTGATAAAATTTTTTTTATAAATGCAGATATAAGTTTACCTTTATGATACATCATCCCTTTATGAGACCTCACAAGTGTGGGAACTTTTTTCACTGATTGTACTCTTTTTATTTCTCTGAAATTTAAATATGGTTTATTCTTGAACAAGTAGATTTATTGATAGGAAAATTTAATTCTTTTGTATTGATGTTTTCTTGCCATTTGTCAAATATTTTATGCATCAGATCTATGATCAAAGAAAGTGTGCATGTAGATATTCGCATGGTATTAGAAATATGCCCCTTCCTAATGATTCTTAAAGAGGTGGTTTTGAGATTTTTTAATTTTCTATTTTTATGCTAATTTATCCTTTAGAATTTTTTTCTCCCCCTACGTTTGAGGATTTAGGGAACATATGTTTGGTCATTATTATTCTCTGTATTGTTGGATTCTATATTTTTTTCTCCACTCATCTGCTGATTTGAGTCACCAATTCTCTCTCTTTTCAAAGGATGATTTGTACCAACTGTCGACACTATTTTGGTTGGGAGAGTTGCCCGTAAGAAGCTGTCGGTCACTGGAATCGAGATCCCGTCGCCTGCTTCGGAAGGACGTTTTAATTTACATATAGATTTAAATTTTGAAAAATATGAAATCAAACTGACCTCATATTTTTATAGTTTCAATGAAAGTGCACTATACTTCAACTCTTGTATTTATCCCGAAGGATAAGCACAAGACTTGCGGATGAGGCTCGATCATATAAACTAAGAAATATATGACATTCGTTTAGTCTGCGAAACCGTTTTATTTGCCGACAAGTTCCCCTATTTAATATGAATAACTAAATAAAATTTATATTAAGTTGGGTTCAGAAAAGCTTCTTATAAGGACAAACTCCTATAGTTAATTACATCTTAAATGACTGAAGCCACCTAAGAAAACTCTCGATAAAAATCAGGAAATATTATCTTCAAAGAGGTTAAAAGTATAAGACTTTTCAACGAAATTGGACAAAGAGGTGTGCAAAGGGGAATGGTTCAAACTTGGAACATTTATTATAGAATTCAAAGGAAGAAGAACTAGGGGATGTCACAGATCCGAAGGAGAACCTCGGTAACTTCCCAGTCTACCCTATAGTTTGGTTTCAGTTTCGAGGAAGAAATATTCAAGTGTTTTATCTTGTCAATTTTATTTACTTAGGACTTACATTCGTATGAAACGATCGCCCAAATAGCCTGAAAGATATGAGGATTTAGGTCGTGAAGGACGACAACTTCAGAATCCTAAGACGAGTTAGGGCTTAGAATGTACGGTAAAGCCGTACAAATGCCTAAAGACAAGTTGAAGATTTATGTTGCATAAGCAAACGACCTCGAAATCCTGTAGATTGTTGTTTTAACTTCTAAGGAAGGAATAATTTAACTGGTTTAGACATGTTCTGCTGTTGAAGATGACCGTGCTGCCCACAATGCTAGCTCCAAGCTCCTTGTCGTGACGATTTTCTAGGGTTTCAGGTTATGATGTCAAATCAAGCGGCCCTATGGTTGTAGCCCTTTAAACATTTTATGAGAGGCATGTTGAAGTTATACAGTGTATGAAACAACAATAAATTATGCAGTGAAAAAGAACAGTACAACATGCGGTGTAAAGAAAAGGTAAAAAGTACTGCAAAAAAGTGACTGCAATAAAGTAGCATGCTGTAAACACAAAGCAAACCTGTATACCTGGTAGATCCGCTGTTCCTTAGGTGTAGTTGATGCAACAGATACAAATAGAACAGACTGAAATCTATCATATAAACAAAAGCAAAAGAAGAAAAAAAAACGTCACATGTAAAACTCGAGAAAGAACTGTAAATGACCCACGATGGAAAATTTGGGAAAAATCAATGAATAATCCATGACGAAAAGCTCGAGAAAATTGACGAGTAACAATTCAAATAAAATCCTCAAAACCTCGGGAAAATCCTAGAGAAAAGACCACGAGTGCTTTGTCCAAAAATTTGATAAGACATATGAAAATTCTGAAAAGAGAGGACCGCAAGCACTCGGGTAGGACTAGACTCAGATATGTATTTGTACTCGAGGGTCCTCGAAGGCTACTTGGTCACCCGGATGTATAAAGTCCGCCACTCGACTAGAAGGGTGTCCTACTGAACCTAACTTAGGAGGGTACTCCCTGGCCTAAAAAGGTAATCAACAGGCGGACAACCAATTTTTTAAATGTATTTAAAATTTATATTTTTAGCATGCACATAGTTTTCAAGCATACAAAAGTGGGTTGTATCAATTTTGTTTGTAGCAATATATATATATATATATATATATATATATATGTATACGTTCTTATCAAATTTGTTTTTATTAGTTTTGAAAAAGTGTAGTTGTTCACGAGTCGATCATACTGTCGGGCGTAGGACTACCAACAACCTAAGAAAGTACGGGTCAACTACTGCTAGTTTTATATCGGTGAATGATATTACATCCTACGGTTCACCGGGTCCGTGGGGGTGGCCCGAGGGCATACTGATGTCATAGGATGAAATATCATTCCGCTCTACTACTGGCTTGCCTTTGTCATCACTGCCCTAAGCCCAAAACAAAGAAGGTACAAGTCTCCTGCTAGTGACGTTGCTTGATGGTTTCACGTATAGCAAAAAGTTATATGTGGACGCTTTATGCATCGGACATAAGCATCGGAAAAAACCAAACCAAGAAGCAAGGAAAAAAAGAACAAAAAAATGAGGTGAGAGAGAGGAGGCACTGCTCCACCTAAAACACCGAAAAGACGGAGGATGAATCAACCCTCAAAACTCGTAACAAAAAAACCTGAGAAGGAAGGGCCCAAGGTCCTTGAATCAATCCAAAAGGATTTTATTTTCTCGCTCTATTATAATTGGATCAACCCAAGGAGGGTGTCCTTTCCAAATACTGTTTTGAACGAGTCCAAACGGGCCCGAACCGACATGACGATCACCCACATATGACCTCCTCTACATCGGTGTCAATCCTCCAAAATTATCTTCCATGGGTTCAATTTAATTCAACCAAATGCTCTCCCAAATAGGACTTGAAAATCCTCCAAATTCCATGAATTGAACAAAAGTTGAACAAAACCATGAATTGAACAAAAGGAAAGTGACCCAGGGAAGACTACCATCAACACCTCTAAACTTATGCCAAAATTAAGATTTCTCAACTCCCAAATTAATCAATAGCTTCTCATATCAAATAAACATAGAATCTTCCAATAATGCCACATAAATGCTCAAGGCCGGGGTCAATAGAGAAGAGGAAGGAGCCACCAAGGCTCTCAACCAAGTCCATCAACAAAATAAGGAACTCACGGCTAAGGCAAGAAATAGGGCCAAAAAAGGCTCACGGCCAAGGTAATCCAAGACACAGGAAAGGCTCACGGCCAAGGCAACCCAAGGAACAACAAGTAAGGCTCACGGCTAAGACAACCAAAGGGACCTCCACTAGTTACTTTACCGTACCCCCTCGATATACATAAGGAAATGAATAAAGCGGTTATAAATTTTTCAATGACAAACTTGACTCTTCCACAAAATCCAGACTGATCAAGTCCAGCAAGAGGGACCAAACAAATCCAAAAGACCCACCGACAAGCTCACGGGTAGGGCTAAGAAAAGGCACGGGCCAACTCCAGGCCAAGCTCTCGGGTAAGGGAGCTTAGGGTAGCAAGGAGCAGCTGTTAAGGTTCTCCACCAAAGGCAACCAAGAGAGGGATCCACTGTCAAAGCCCACAGCCAAGGCCACCAAAAGGGGAGCTGCTAAGGCTCTCGGGTAAGGGGCAAAGCCAACAAAAATCAAGCCCCAAACCAACTTTAAATTATTTGGGGATGAACCTGCACGTATATTTAACTGAGGCAGCCAATAACATGCCAATTTCATGTCAAAATGAGTTCAATGAGTGAGCAGGAACCTGGCGACCCAGGGGCAAAACCGAGAATCTCAACAAGCAAAACCGGACCCCGTGAGAAGCTAAAACCGAGCCGTTACAATGCTTCAAAATCGATATTCATGCAACAGACTATTTCAAATAGGCAGATCGCAACAAAAGAGCTAAACTGAGGCCTTAACAAGCAAAACCGAGCCCCACAAGAAGCTAGAACTAAGTCGTTCAAGGCTAAAACAGAATTCCAACAAAAATTAAGACTCGCATCTCAATAGAGATTAACATCGAGCCATTTCAAGGCAAAATCGAGCCATCCAAAGGTTAAAGAAAAATCCACATGCCTTAAAAACATCAAGATATGGAGCCAATATACATCTTAAACAAGAAAAACATCATAGAGAACATATTTGGGCCTCCAAAATACCTATTCCGAGCATGAAACAATTTCTCATAGATATTTGAATAGAGTGGATACCTCACGAGGAGCTAAACCAAGTCGTTAAAACAAGCTACAGGGCTTTCCAAATTAAAGAAATTCTCATAGCATGCATTTCAGGTCAGGAAAAGCCACAGGGAGCTAAAACCGAGCCCCAATATAGACTAAAAATTGAGCACAGCAAGGCCCGGAAAAAAAAAAAAAAACGTGGCATAT